TGATGGTGACGATGATTTCGAGTAGGTCAGGCCAGGTGAACGGTGCAGAACGCCCGAATAGGTTATACACTACGCGCGCCAAGTATTGTTTTGGCCCGCTTTCAGGTGCCACATGAACATGTAGTTGGATGATCCGATTCCCTGGACACCGGGTATCCATGGGAGATTTGGGGGCATCCTGCGAGGTCCAATGTCGACCGAACAATTTCCCCATGGATTTCTTAGATCAAGACGTCTGAACGCATGTATCTACCCTGTACGGCAACATTGGGATAAAGGGGCAGGAGTAAGTGGATGCGATCTTCGCCATCTCACGCACAGTGGGACAACATCTGTGTATAACTTAACCGTGCGGACGCTTTTGTCTTCGAGTGCGGGAGGACAACAGGCCACGGAGGAGTTGCGGCGCTAGAAGGCAAGGTAATCGAGGTCGGCTGGAAGTGTTGTCGCTGCGCTTCCGGTTGATGTCCCAGGTTCCTTGTGGTCCAGGATGACTTGCGAGAGTAGTCAGGTCCTTGCGTCGGTGATGGCGCTAGCGAGGGTAGGGAGACTAGAGGTTGTTCTGGTCGAGGTTGCAGCGGCAGTCGTGGTTGGGATGGGTGACGGACGACGTTTTGAGGTGTTGCTGGCTGGGGCCCTGGCGAAGGTGCAGGGAGGTCGAGTTAAGGTTGCGGGAGATGATCACTGGAGAGGAGGAATGTTGTCAAATAGATTCCAGATGTCTAAAACATGTTAAAACTGTGTTTGAAACATGCAAAATACATGTTTGAAACCTGTGTTGGCCAGCTTTTCCTTAACATGCATATTCCAAATCCAGTAACAGGGCGGTTAGAGTGTCCATTGCCATGGCATCCACAAAAGTAAGGTTTACGGACTCGGCGTGGGCGTCTTCGCGGTTGTAGCCTGAGGCGCTGGCTCAAGCCAGAGCGCCCAGCGCGCAACCCGCGGCCACGCGGTGGGCGCGCGCGACGGAGCCACGCCCGAGCGGGGCAGATCCCGCCCGCCCGCGTGGCACAGGAGGCTGAGGAGGAAGCGCTCCTCGGCACGCAGACTCCCCTCGGTGGCGCAGGCTCGCGAGTTGCTGGAGTCGCACCACGGCAACATGGCGCCGAAATCCTGGGACAAGATGAGCTGGTCCGAAGGCGGCGGCTTCGCGTGCTGTACTACGTGGGGATGCAAAACGGTGGATCAACGGGCTGTGGACCACCACAGCTGGAATCTCGGGGCCTCTACCAGGGGCCAGGCAATCCAGCAAAAGGGCGGAGATCATGGCGTTCTTAGGCTGTCTACAGTCGACCAAAGGTAATATGATATTCTTCGCGGACTCTGAGATGTCCTGCAAGGGCTGGCTGACCAAGAAGTACCTCATCAATGGCTACACGAAGGCGCGTGGGGACCTCTGAAGTAAGATCAAGCAACGGCTGGACAGTAGAGGGGAAGCAGTAGTAAGCGCAAGACACATCGATAGCTACATAGCCGAGGAACAAGCTCAGGATAGAGGCGTGCCGATGGCAGCTTGGCACGGCAACATGAGGGCAGACGAGCAGGCAGGACTGGCGGCCAACGCCCACGAGATCCCGGAGGCAGCGGGGACTTCGAGGAGCTTAGGAGGATATTCCCACACTAGCTGATCATGAAGGGAAAGATGCTGCATTGTGCGAGGTGCAAGAAGTCGACCAGCAGCAGGCAGAGGTCATTGGCAGCGCGTTGATGGTTGCAGACATGCCATGGAGATGACGCCGGAGAACGAGCCGACCGACGAGAGCGAGAAAGCCGAAGCCTGGTGCGCAAGGGACAGCTCTCGCACGCGACACATTCAATTTGCTGGTCCCGATATGCGATGAAGTACTTCTGTTGGCAGTGCGGAGCGACGGGGGAAAAGCACTTAAGCAACAATATGGCACAGGCGTGCGAAGGGCGTCCACACGGGAAGGCGTCCCCGTACGCGCTGAAGGCCATGCGGGAGAAGATGGACTGGACGCAGAGCGCGAGTGTGATGACGGATTGGAGACACGCCAAGCAGAAGGATCACGAGAAAAGAACTTCGGGAAGGATGCCGAAGGCGGAGGGCCAGCTCGCCCGCGGGAACACGGAGAAGCAGCGCAGAGGCCAATGTGGACATGCCGGCAAAGGACCAGCGGCAGTTCTACGAGGCCGCCGAGGAGAAGGAGCCCGACATGGCAGTCGTCGGCCATAGCTCCTGAGTGGCTAGGCTATGCCAATGCCGCTCGCCAGTCGACTGATTGTCCAAAACATAGGGCACGCATTTTGTGGTTGTAGCTTGCGGGGCCAGTGCGTTGGCGCTTCGCTTTTGCCTCAAGTCTGGATGGTCGCCCCCGTCGAGATGCCCGCGGAGGTTCTGCTGGGGCACGGGGGCCGCAGTCGTCCGAGGCCGCGCTGGCGAAGTTCAGGGAAACGTAAGATTCGAGTAAGCCGGAACTCGGTTTTGCCTGCGTTTTCTGACGAACCCGCGCTGGATTTTGACAGTTCAGTTTTCGCG